ACACCTGAGCAAGCTAATCAATGTCTTCAGGATCATTAGAAAATCACAGGTAGGTCAGTTTGATCAGGGTTGGAGCTAAACTCTGCAGCGCATTGGCCCTCCAGGGCAAGATTTGAGGAACCCTGCTATACACTATGTACTCAACCATCTAGTTTATTACTTTTATAAGGTTATTTTGTCTATTGTCTTTAAATCGTCTTTATTTTGTCTTAAGGTTATTGGGACTTTAAAAATTATCTTTAGATTAGTACTTGCCCTAGTAATTATTATATATATATATATATATATATTATATAAAGTTTTAATATTTTTTTAGCATATTGACAGCTAAAAAAAGTAGTAGTAAATTTATTTGGGGAAAAAAATCAAATTATGTTTCAGCCTATGTAAGGTGACATATCTATAAATGGTTGGCTTAACTTGATTTCCTAGACACACAAAACCAACTTTTGGGTTTGGCGAGGAGAGAGCGGTCTAATGTTTTAGATATATATGTATATAAATTGGTATTTTCAAGCTGAAACTGTCAAGCCAGACCCATCAAATAAATTTAAAATGGTTTGGCTCGAAGTTTCAAAGCTCTAGTCACAGGAGGTTAGAAAAGCCAGTCCCACTGTTTCCATAGTGTTCCTCCACAGATAGTGAAGCGTTTCAGCAGACTGGAAGGAATTCCACTCAGTGTGTGTGTTTAAACGGAAAGAGTGAGAGAAAGAGACCACCACAGAAACCCCCCTGAAGCAGAAGCACACACTGTAAAGCACTATAAGGTGAGAGCCATAGGTTTATGAGTGTCAGGCCAACCCAGATAACCCTTGGTGTGTCTGGTGCCAAAGCCTCATTTACCCCCTCTGACCTGAAACATAATATCAAAGTACATCTTTCTTCTCCAACACTCTCTTCTTCTGAGCTTCATCTGTTCTCGCATTCATTCGTCATTCCCACACGTTATCCCCATTTTCCTGTCCTCCATCATTCAAAGCGTCCATCTTTTAACCCGCCATCAGAGCTTCAGATGTATTAGGGATGTTAAACTTTGAGGGCCAAATAGATCAGTTTCCAACAACCAAATCTTCATGATGTTTCCAATGAATTTAGGGAGGCCTTGGCTTCATAAAACTGCCTGTGAGTTAGAGAGGAAAGACAATAGCAAATTAATTCAATGTCTAATTCATTCCTCTAATGGATCACCAGATCGGGAAGGTTATATGGAAAATGTGCAGACAGAAAGTGTTCACTATGATCATAATCCGGGCACATCAGGTATTTTCAGCAATACATCAGACAGGAATTCATTTTTCACAGAATGAAAAACTATATCATATTTTGGATGTCAGGAGGTCCAGTATAGAGAGGACATGAAATGATGGGGAAAATAGGACCAGGAAAATCACTTACCTGCATTGTTTAAGACAGCTCACCACCAAAAATGATTTTTTTAAATACAAAATTTGGGCATTTTTTCCCCACAATTAAGGTCTATTCATACGTTTGTCAAAAACATAAAATGAATTTAAATCAAACCTCTAAAATCAAAAACAACTTAATACAACACACTTCTGAGAGAGCAAATATACTGTAGATATCTGACCGCTACAGGTCACTAAAGGTCAAACTTCAAGTCAATCTAAATTATTTTATGTTAGAAGTAATTCAAAAGACATGAAACTGGTACTGCTACTGTATATAAGAAAAAGGTTGTCTGAGATAATGGTCAGTTTAACAAAAATATTTGACCCCAGAATGATATGATTGATCAATCAAAATAAAGCATTCTCAAGAACATTTTATTATTAGTAATATTATATCTTATATGCTATCATTATTGCTAATATATAACATTTTTTATTATTATTATTATTATTAATAATTGCCTAATAAGTTGTGGATTATTACATTGCATACTTTTTTCCCCTAATCTTGATGTGCATATTTATGCACCAAAAACTCAATTAAATCAGTTTAAATATTCCAATTAATGTATATTCTCAGTATGAACAAATACAGTATGGCAGGCATAACGTAAGTTTTTTAAAAATATATATACACATTAGCTGCTTGTTGAATAACAAAACATTGAAGTCATGGATTATTACATTATATTAATTAGTTTGAAACAAGCTCAGAGTCTCATTGTTTTTGATTGATTTTTTTTTTTTTAAACATGCTGTGCATTTTTATGCTCCAAAACAGTATAGCAGATATTTAAAAAAAAACACTTCATATTAGCTGCATGATGAATAACACTCAAATCTCAGTCAATAGCGATATCTGATTGGTCTACAGGTCACTATAGTGTCTGCAGAAATGCTAAACCCAAAACTATATAGCCCAAAAATAAAATATATAGTGACTATATACGATTTCAGTTGACTTTTTTCAGATGATTTCACATGAAAAGACAAATGCATTAATCTGTCTGAAATCAAACTTTAAAAATTGCATGTAAATGTACTAAAACACTGGGATTTGCGCACCAGTGCATCAGACCTACAGTATTCCTAATTCAGAAAGACTGACCTGCAGCCAGCTGGCTGAAAGCAGTAGGTGTTAACAACATCCCTGTGCTAAGTGATGCTGGATCTGTTCAGGCTATCAGCCGAGCTGCACAGTCATTTTGTATCAAACAAGAGCATTCTCACCTATAACAGCCCCCCATGGCTAGAGAAGAAAGGAGAGAAGCACTGAAATAAGAACACAACAGGAGAAAGGAGATGACAGATGGAGCGGTAGTCACAAATAATGCAGGAAACAGACAAAGAAACATCCATGCATAGTCTAAGATAACACATACATCCAAATTTCAAACACAAAGGCATATGCTGCAAACATGATCCGACTTTGCCGTTATGAGAGGGATTACGGTGATTTTGTTACCTATTGTTAAACAAAGGTTAGTCTTTTGAAACTTAGGGAGTTTTCCATGTTGTCCACTCTTATGTCTGGTGTCAGTTACGTCACTGGCACCTGCTAAAGGTAATTATAGAAAACCACACAGTGCAAAAGTCTTAATTTAACACAAAATGTGAATTCGAGCTCGTCGGGGTGTAGTGAGGTGACGTCAGTCTCAGGCCATCGTGTCCAAAACTCTGGTCATGGAGCAGCGGTCACGGTCACCTGACTGTTATTTTATTTGGAGCTTACATGCCCCAAATCGGTCCAATTTAAATACTGATATTGATCCAATAGTATCCGTTCCACTTAAATGCATTTCAAGATGCCAAACACAAGACTGCGGAGAAACAGGGAGAACAAGCAAAAGCAGTCTCATTATGGCTTTTGAATGAAAACATGATGTGATTTTAAGCAATGAGGCTTAACTGAGCAACACGTCCAGTATGCCAAGAACTTTCGAGAAGTGATTTGTTCTGTCGGGAGCCATGACAGCGGTGACAGCTGATTGGATGGCAAGACGGATTGACCTTAAATAAGACTGGGAGACTCTGAGACACTTCGACTCGAAGTCAAATATAATAAGAGATTGCAGCATGCAGATGTGGAGACAAAAAACTAACAGCTGCATCATGGATTTGAAAAATGTGACTCGTATAAAAAGTATTTTCAAAAATCATGATCCATTGCCACCATCCTTTTTCAAATCCATTGTATCCGACTTTGTGTTCTTGGTTATTTGGCTTACCTAATGACACAGGAATGACCAACATCATGGGCCACACTGTAAAATGTCTTCTGAAGTGAAAAGCTGTGCTTGTAAGAAACAAATCCATCATTAAGGTGCTAATAATGCTTCCTCCACTGAAAAAGTCCATCTCCTGTTGTCCTCTCACATCAAAATCCACCGACATATTTGTTTAGGACTGTTTTTGCTTATGTACAGTGCTTGATTTGTGCAGATTGCTCTCCTGATTCAGGCAAAACAGCTTTTTCACTGGAGAAAGCAATATCATGGATAGAAAACATGTATTTTGGCCAAAAACAACGGTTTGAAGTTAAAAACATCTTGATGGATTTGTTTATTACAAACATGCAGCTTTTCACTTCACAAGATATTAACTGATGGACTGGAGTGGTGTGGATTACTTGTGGATTTTTGTGATGTTGTTATCAGCTGTTTGGACTCTCATTCTGACGGCACCCATTCACTGCAGAGGATCAATAGGTGAGCAAGCCATGTAATGTTAGATTTCTCCAAATCTGTTCCAATGAAGAAACAAACTCATCTACATCTACACACTACATCACACCTGAGGATGAGTACATTTTGATTTGGATGAGCAAATATTCATTTTTGGGTGAACTATTCCTTTAATCTACATCAAAACTCGTATTAGACCAACAATATCAAGCCAAATATTGCAGCATGAAAAAAACAACAACATACAAAACCTTGCTTCAAAAAACAAAATACGAAAGATAAAATAAAATATTAATGATTAAAGAAATATATTTAGTAGTATATTTTAAATAAAAAATATTACTTTTTAGACTTCATGCCAAGTGTCATAAAACCATATACAAGATTACAATGATAATGAAAATTATTTACTGCTTTAAATTTGCTAGTTGAGTTTTGCAGTTAGAACAAGCAAATTCAGCTAAATCAAGTAGCATTACTGATGACATTTGCTGAGAGACCTCAAAAAAAAACTTTTTTTTAACAATTCCCTTTTCACGCCGCACTCAAGTCATAGAGGTGTTATGGGGAGTCTGAAGGGTTATTGTTCAGTTGTAATTCAAATACAGGCTTTTGCAGTATCGCGCACAGGCTGAGCATGCAGTGTGATCTCTGAGGCCATTGGGTGCTGGATGCTTTTGTGAGGTGCTGCTGATGAGGAACAGAAAAGCAGACGCACAAACTGACTGGACTGATTGAACTCCAGCACAGACTGAGCTGAATTAACATCTAGAACGAATTCAAGACGTTCAGTTGCATTGTGTTAATATGGCAGTCTCTAGGGCCTTTCACACCAAATTTGTTGCAACATGTTTTTGAAAGTTTTGTATTCTGATTTTGTGTGAAAAAATCTGTGCCCATTCTTCATAAACAGAACGTATCATTGCTCAAATAAGAGTCTAACCAGACTCTAGTTTCAGCTGTGCCAAATCAGTGACTGTTATGACAGCATGAAAAGTTCAAGAAGTTTTCTAATGCAATCTCCCCATCCCATAATAATACATCAGACGAATTCACACATTCCAGCAATTCTGTTGCTATGGCAGTGCCGTCACCTGCTTCTCTGCTGTGTCTAAAATGGGGTGACGTGATTTTCCAGTTAAGCCAACTGCTGGATCTGCCTTCAATCCCAGAATTCCTCACACCTGCAGTGGATTAGCTGTCCAGAAAGACAGCGACGGATCTCAGAGCCTGAAAGAGTCTTCACTACACAGCTCCTCTGTCTTGGGAGACAGAACGTTGTTTATCTGTGGTTATGAGGTGTCTCCGGCAGAGCGATTTGTTTAAGTGGCAGCACTCTGTGAGAACAACAGTACCAAACAATTATATCTGTCACAGAATTACACATAACATATAATTTATAGAGCAAAAGCATAATTAAACAGAATGGGGAAAAAAAATGTATTTTTTAATCAACTGACAGACCCATAAATTTTATAAGTAATTAAATAAAATGTAATGACTTACTTAATATAGAATTTATAGGGCTCACATGGCATGTCACCATATTCTAATTTGTTGAGATAGTGAATTGGTGGGTTTTTGTTAAATGTGAGCCAAAATCATCACAATTAAAAGAACCAAAGACTTAAACTACTTCAGTCTGTGTGCAATGAATTTATTTAATACACGAGTTTCACAATTTGAGTTGAGTTACTGAAATAAATGAACTTTTCCACGACATTCTAATTTATTGAGATGCACCTGTATATACACACACACACACATTTTAAATGTAAAATACTGATGTTAATAATTAAAACACAAGACAAGATTAAAAGACAAAAAAGAGGGTAGAAAAAACTTGAATTGCTCATTTATATCATTAAACTGTGATTTTTAATATTAAAACACCCTTTATACAAAATTATATGTACAGTGTCACAGCAATTTATGGAAACGCATTTCTTTGTATTTGTCTTAAATACAACGTATCAACAGTCATTCAAGGAAAATCTACAATAGACAGGAAATCAAACAAGGGTTTCAGGCCAGGATGAAATGATGTAGAAGTCAACCATTACTAGTCCTTCCTGACAACACTCTGTGGTCTTTTCTTAAGACTGATTAATACATTTATGATGTGATTCTTATGGAAGAGGACCTGACTCTTGTGTATACCTGAAAAGCAGACTGGAATAAAGAACACCAAAAGAAAAGTGCTGAATACTGCTTGGGGAAAAAAGCACATACAAATGGCTTCTGAAAGAGGGTGAATATCATTTTTAGAGGACATTACATTGAAGAGCAGTGTGAAACGCAAAAGGATGATGATTAATGCCATAATGAAGAAGAAGAAAAAAACTGCAGTGAATGCAGAGGAACAGCCATCCTGCTCCTCTTCAACAGTATGCAGTGCACATCATTTGCGTTTTGGTTTTTCTGATATCTGAATAACTGTACACAGTGGGAAAGTTCATTGACATTAAAGGACCTTCAAGGAAAAAGTTTTGGACTAAATTTATGATGTGATTCTTATGGAAGAGGACCTGACTCTTGTGTATACCTGAAAAGCAGACTGGAATAAAGAACACCAAAAGAAAAGTGCTGAATACTGCTTGGGGAAAAAAGCACATACAAATGGCTTCTGAAAGAGGGTGAATATCATTTTTAGAGGACATTACATTGAAGAGCAGTGTGAAACGCAAAAGGATGATGATTAATGCCATAATGAAGAAGAAAAAAAAACTGCAGTGAATGCAGAGGAACAGCCATCCTGCTCCTCTTCAACAGTATGCAGTGCACATCATTTGTGTTTTGGTTTTTCTGATATCTGAATAACTGTACACAGTGGGAAAGTTCATTGACATTAAAGGACCTTCAAGGAAAAAGTTCATTTTGGAATAAAGACGCAGCAACCCTGAAGGTTTTGTTTAAACTTTCTCGAGCCTGTTGTTCATGCACACAGTATTTTACATCTTTTACACCATGTCGACAGTGGAAGTGACTGATATCACAAGTTTTCACATTTGCATAAAATTTCATTTTGTATAAGTTATTTTAGAAGATTTTGGTGTAGTGGTCAGAATTAATTTAAATGTAAATGTAAATAAATTCATTGCAATCAAATTATGATGATTTGAATAAAATGTTATTTTCGACGGATGGGAAAAATAAAGCCCGAGTGGCTCTACAGCGCTCAAAATAAAGAAACGGGCAAAAAGCCTATTACAAAAAGTTGTATTTAGAGGGAAAAAAACTTGATGAGAACTCGGTGTAAAAATAGAATCAGGACATCAACAATATGATGTAATGAACCCTTCTTTGTTGCATTTAATAGGAGCTATTGATTTTTGTTACGTGGTGACGTGCCGCTCGCATCCAGTGTTGACACAGCATCAAACTGTGAAGCACAGCTATCAGGATTTTATAATTCTGGGTGAATAAATCAGAAAGAATACAAGGTCTCGCAATGGTCAGGCTGGAAAAAAAGAGGTTTGCGCAATGTGTGAGTAAATAAATTCATTGCAATCAAATTATGATGATTTGAATAAAATGTTATTTTCGACGGATGGGAAAAATAAAGCCCGAGTGGCTCTACAGCGCTCAAAATAAAGAAACGGGCAAACAGCCTATTACAAAAAGTTGTATTTAGAGGGAAAAAAACTTGATGAGAACTCGGTGTAAAAATAGAATCAGGACATCAACAATATGATGTAATGAACCCTTCTTTGTTGCATTTAATAGGAGCTATTGATTTTTGTTACGTGGTGACGTGCCGCTCGCATCCAGTGTTGACACAGCATCAAACTGTGAAGCACAGCTATCAGGATTTTATAATTCTGGGTGAATAAATCAGAAAGAATACAAGGTCTCGCAATGGTCAGGCTGGAAAAAAAGAGGTTTGCGCAATGTGTGAGTGCATGTTTTTCATCTTCTGGAAGCAGGACTCGGGTGTGCAGCATGAGAAAGGGCGTCATTTTTACACGGACATTCCTCGCCCTTTCTGCCCACCCCAACCAACAGGCATTCTTCCTGGCACAAAGCCTGGTATATATCAGGCTTTGCTATCTGGTTGGTCCTGGCACACCAGAGCTCCTGCTGTAATACTCAGCGGCAATTAAAGGAATAGGTGACCCAAAAATTAAAACTTTAATTTCTCACCATCATATCATTCCAAACCATGTGTGACTTTCTTCTGTAAAACACAAAAGAAGAAAAGTGGCATTTAGAAAAGTGTCTGTGCTTTTTGTCCATACAACTAAAGTCAATAAGAATAAAAAAAAATCTAAATAAAATTATATATATATTTATATATATATTAATTAATTTGCAAAAAACGATAAACGCCACTTAAAAAATTTTTTTTGCTAATTGCCGTGCATTATTCTCCACATATAGCGCGATCTGAAACCTAAACACGTTTTGTCAAAAAAGCCGGTTCCACTTTCAGGTGAATAAATCAGAAAGAATACAAGGTCTCGCAATGGTCAGGCTGGAAAAAAAGAGGTTTGCGCAATGTGTGAGTGCATGTTTTTCATCTTCTGGAAGCAGGACTCGGGTGTGCAGCATGAGAAAGGGCGTCATTTTTACACGGACATTCCTCGCCCTTTCTGCCCACCCCAACCAACAGGCATTCTTCCTGGCACAAAGCCTGGTATATATCAGGCTTTGCTATCTGGTTGGTCCTGGCACACCAGAGCTCCTGCTGTAATACTCAGCGGCAATTAAAGGAATAGTTGACCCAAAAATTAAAACTTTAATTTCTCACCATCATATCGTTCCAAACCATGTGTGACTTTCTTCTGTAAAACACAAAAGAAGAAAAGTGGCATTTAGAAAAGTGTCTGTGCTTTTTGTCCATACAACTAAAGTCAATAAGAATAAAAACAAATCTAAATAAAATTATATATATATTTATATATATATGAATTAATTTGCAAAAAACGATAAACGCCACTTAAAAATTTTTTTTTGCTAATTGCCGTTCATTATTCTCCACATATAGCGCGATCTGAAACCTAAACACGTTTTGTCAAAAAAGCTGGTTTTGTCCACTTTCAAGGCATCGCGAGTTCA